AGGACCTGTGCCGGGTCGGGTCAGCTGGGGGCCCCCGGGAGGACCTGTGCCGGGTCGGGTCAGCTGGGGGCCCTCGGGAGGACCTGTGCCGGGTCGGGTCAGCTGGGGGCCCTCAGGAGGACCTGTGCCGAGTCGGGTCAGCTGGGAGCTGTTAGGAGGACCTCTGCCTGTGGCTCAGTTTCAGAAGAGCGGCTGTACGCAAGCTCAGTGACATGGAGTTTTTGAACAAAAGCAGATCTGATCTGATTTCAGAATATCATTACTGTAGGAGTAATTACTCATCTATACCTCTGTTTAAATTTGTGATGATCACCTCACCTCAGATGAGCTTTGTTGCTTTATTCTCCTCATTTTTATTTTAGTATTCTCAAACTTTAAAGTACACAGGAATCCTAAAGATCTCATTGAAAAGCAGGTTCTGATTCAGTAGGTCAGGGTGGGGCCTGAGATGTCTCACTTTTTACAAGCTCCTAGATGATGTCCAAGCTGTTTGTCCGTGGACCACACTTTGAGTAGCAAGGATCTAAACAAGATACATTATTTTACTTTAGTATAGCATCTGGCACAGTGGTTAAGCATTTGGCTGCTAACCAAAAGGTCGGCAGTTGAAATCCACCAAGCACTCCTTGGAAACCCTATGGGGCAGTTCTGCTGTGTCCCATAGGTTCGCTATGAGTTGGAATCGACTTGACAGCAGTGGGTTTGGTTTTTGATAGCAACTTTAAACATATTGTTGTCGGTTGCCACTGAGTCAGTTCTACCTCATGGCATCTCCCTGTGTTGCAGAATAGAACTGCTCCATAGGGTTTTCTTGGCTGTAATCTTAATGCAAGCAGATCGCCAGGCCTATCTTCTGCCTTACCCCTAAGTGGGTTAACAGCTTTAAATTTTGTGGACCTTAAAGTGGTCTGTCTCAATATAAGAGGGTAACAATTTTAGGGGACGGTTATAAAATAATATAACATTGGGTTTAATAACCAACTACCAAATGTACTATTCAATAATATAACTTAAATATTTTTCTGGCATAAACCAGTTAGGGGCTTTTGCTTCCCTCTCGCACCCCTTTAAACTTCATAGGTGTACTTTCTAGACCCTCATTATGTACCTATTTAGATGTGTTGTGTATCTGTGGGCTGCAGAGTACCTCTGTAATGAAAGATAAGTAAACAAACAATGGTGGGTTCTATGAGATACGTAATTCGCCAGCGTGTTGTCCTCAGCAGTGGCTCTTAGCCTTTTGTCCGCTGTCCCAGGCAGTGACACAATAGCACTGCTGTGGGTAGCAGATTATCTCCGTGACACCTGCACGAATCGCCAGTGGCCACAACCATATGGCTTCGGTGAGAGGCTCCGCGTATGCTGAGTTCCCTGTGGGCTGCTAACAGCCCTGCCTGTCTCTCCATCACAGACGGCAAGTGGTGGAGAGTGCTGTTGTAGGGTCCTCGGTGCTGGGCACTGTGATGTGTGCTGAGGACCAGACCATACAGAAGTAACCCTGCCCCTTCCCGTGTCAAGCTCACAGCCTTGACTCACTGCCAGCTATTTCGTTTTTGCTTCATAGCCTATTGAGACACCATTGATCTATGGTGACGTGTGTGAGAACGACTCTTCTAAAACGATATGTAAAATGGAAGTCAAAAGTAGAAGTACTTTGGGAACTTGTAATTTTAACTTTCGTTTTCTTCACAAAACTCACTTAGTAGTATTTCATTGTTACCAGAACGGTGGTAAATTAAGTCTTGTTACTAAAGGCTTTTTTTTTCACTTTGCAGTCGTCCTTTTTCTTCCAAGTGGTCTACAGCAAATCCATCAACTGTGGCTGGAAGAGGTAATTGCCTTTTTAAGGATCATAGCATATTTTATCTCTAAGGTGGCAACTTCAGACAGCTTGCCTGTGACTCACAGTGAAAAACATCATTTTACATCGTAACCCAGTACCACACAAATACGCTGTGCGTGTGCGTGCCTACAGTATACGTGCATACTATATGCACAAGTTCTGTGAAACGGTACTTGCGCATTCTTGTGATGTGCTCTGTTTTTATTCCATTTCATCCCTTAAAAAATGCTGGTTATGTCCCACTTGATTGATTTCACAACTGTTAATGGGACATGACTCACAGTTGAGGAGCCCTGGTGGCATGTTGGTTAAGCACTTGGCTGCGAACCGAAAGGTCGGCAGCTCGAACCCACCAGCCTCTCTGCAGGAGGAAGCTGTGGCAGTCTGCTTCGGTAAAGATTCCAGCCTTGGAAACCCTGTGGGGCAGTTCTTCTCTGTCCTGCAGGGTCGCTATGAGTCCGCATCGACTCGACAGCAGTGGATGCTGGGTGATGCCGCACGGTTATAAAATTCCTCACTTGTAAAACCAAAAACCAACAACCAGAAGCCTGATGACTTACTTTGCACTACCTAAGAGTGGCAGAGCCTGCGTTGATCTGAGTGTCCCTGTTCCCGCTCCAGTTCTTGCATTTTTCTGATAGTAAAAAATAAAACTACTGCCATCTCTTTATCACGCACAGTGCTTTATTTTCATAAATCATAAGCATCATCTCGTCTTCTCCAGAACTGTCCTGTGAATTTTGCAGTCAGAGTACAATCATTTTTCTCCTTTTCTCCCACTGAGAAAATTGCCCTTAGAAGCTTTGGCTGTGCCAGGATTGAACCTGAGGTTCTCACTTTAAAGTACTTCACAGCATTGCCCTTTGTGCCCCTGCCTTCTTCTTGACCGTTGGTCATTGTGGATTAGCTCGGGATGGTTTCAAGTCTACACAAGTTTCATGTTGCTTGCAGTGATTTCAAGGAGCCCCGCTGGTGCAGTGGTTAAGCGCTCGGCTGCTAACTGAAAGGTCAGCAGTTGGAACTCAACAGCTGCTCTGCAGGAGAAAGATGTGGCAGTCTGCTTCTGTAAAGATTACAGCCTTGGGAACCCAATGGGGAAGATCTCTGTCCTGTGGGGTCGCTCTGAGTTGGAATGGATCTGACGGCGGTGGGTTTGGTTTTTTGGTTTTGGGCAGTGATTTAACTAACAGGCTGCCTCTGCTGTGTCTTGCAGTGTCAGCCAGCAGCAGCAAAGCCAGCTCCCTTCCAGGAAGCCTGCAGCGTTCACGAAGTGACATCGATGTGAATGCTGCTGCTGGTGCCAAGGCGCATCATGCTGCCGGGCAGTCTGTGCGAAGCGGGCGCTTAGGTGCAGGTGCCCTGAATCCAGGTTGCTACGCATCTCTAGGTAAGACACCCAATGGGAAATTGCACAGTGTTCTCGCCCTGGTAAGAAGGCAGTGAAGGCAGGATGATGTCTTAATGATTTCCATTTTATTCTTGCTAGTTAAGGATGGTGGACACGTTTTAGTATGGCTTCATACTGGGGACACAGTTCTGAGGTATCTAAGCTGCCTGGTTTCCACTTGTCCTCCTCCTTGTTCTACTGAGCAAATAAACAATCCTTGGTTCCGTGATTTGCCCGTAGAATTTCCACACAGCTCTGCAGCTGTGCTCCATCAAGCCACTGGTTACCGAGGGAGTTGGGGAAAGGCACTGGCCTTGGATCCCGCTTCTCTTCTCTGTTCTCTTTTCTTTCTCCTGCTTTTATTCCTTTACCAAGAAGTTAAGGCCTTTTAAGGACCTGGGAGAACAGCAAAGCTTCTCTGTGTCTAATCGCAGCTTAAACATATATTCCAAAAACTATTCCAAACTTGTTCTTTTTTATATTTTTATGTCCATCAACTTAAAAGCATGAGGTTGGTTTTCCATGTTGCTTATCTCTGTCTATGCTTGATTTTTCTCTCTTCAAACTCTTCTTTTGACCATGTCACTAAATGCAATGCAAACTTGAATAATGTGTCTTAAAGATACAGTAAATTATTGTGAACTTCTGGTAGTATAAATTGCAGAGGGCAATTTTAATTTGTCCATGTTAGGTATGTTGTTGGAAAAGTTAGCACAATCATATATTATTCATAGACATTTTTGTCTTGTGTTTTTAATTAAGTAAACCTATATGTGTTTGATATCATCGTGATTCGCTATATGAACAGAAAACAGATTGGAACACAACCACATCTTTCTGTTTATTACTGTTTCTATTCCTAAAATTTTACCTGCTGCTCTGATTTTCCTGTCTACAGCCTTGCTTCCTGTGCTTCCTCTAACGACTTTGAGGTTTTTATGAATTAGATGTGCAAGTTGAAGTGTGCTTTATTTTGGCTCAGATAAACAGGCAAGTAAGATGAGCACAGGCGGAAGAACGGCTTTGTATCAGAGGCTTTGTGCTTCTGAAGTCATGTATGTGCACTTGGGAGAGCCACCTGCCTTTCCTGTTTTACTGTATGTTTGTTTCTGGGATTTCTGAGAAGTACAGTGACAAGTCAGAGCACTTAAAGTATCATCGGATTTTGGATTATTCTGATAAAGCAACCAGGGAACCACTCTGAACTATTTGGATTGAACGCTCTGGTTTGTGTTTCTGTACCTATGTAAAGTGAATAGCATTTCAGTAAGAATCATGCTTTAAATAAGAAGCATTCTTAACTCTGAAGATACTCAAAAGAAATTGAACTGCATATGTGTTTAACCCTGAGATTTCAAAACCCAAAAGCACATACAAAGAAAACCTGTCCCGTTTATGAATGTAGACATTAACATCCTAAGAAGAAAATGACGGCAGACGTAATTCAGCGGTGTGTCAGCAACTGTGACATCCCGTGGCCAGTGGGGAGGGCTTAACGTGGCGGTGTCAGCATTACTGTGTCACGTGACTGGCACCTGCAGGAAGGAACATCACAGGGCAATAAAGAAAAACCACATGGTCATCTTACTACGTACCCAAAGCCTTTGATGAAAAGTTAACATCTGTTCCTGATACAGTGGCTTATAGATAGTCTTCATCATGTTAAGACATTTACACATACTCCTCACTTACCAACTATTTAGTTATCTGACGTTTCGCATTTATGACAATAGTAAAAATCTGTCCGACTTTTTGCACATTAACAAGGAGGTAGACATGGCGGCAGAGGCTGCGGAACGTCCCCTCCCTCTTGGAGGGCCTCCGGTGGTCTCTGGGAAGGTGACCCTGCTGCCCCCCTCCCTCTGCTCCCTCCTGCAGCAGGGGCACAGCGTACAGCTGCCGCACAAGGCAGCGTCCTGCGTGGTCACGGCCCCTGGCAGGCGCGCAGGCAGCGAGCCAGCAGGTGCCTGTTCTGGGTTCCCAGCTCCTGTGTGGCCTGAGGGCCTGCAGCTCAACACTGCCATGGGCAGGAAGGGAGAAAGAAAGAGGCACCAGAGAGGATGTTTGGAAGAAGTACATGTGACTTTAATGACACCCCAAAGTGAGCCAAACTGGGCCTAAAGGCTCCTCCTCTGTGGGGCCGGGTGCCTGGCTAACCTCCCAGCACCCTTGCGGGAAGCCCTGAGCCTCGGTGACTCGCCAGGCCCAGAGGGCACAGCAGTCTCCAGGATCCTGAACACAGTGGCAGCTCCGCAAGGGAAGCTCGGACCCAGCTCAGGAGGAAGGTGAAGTGGTTAAGCCACGGGCCCGCCAGTCACACGGCCTGGCGTTATGCAGCTTTGTCTCCTCCAAGCCTCCGCAGAGGAGTAAGTGTAACTGGACTCATCACAGTAATGAGCACATCAGGAATTCTTAGCTGTTATTAGTTCAATGATCATATTCTGTAAATAAAAGAAATCAAACAAAAGGATGGTATGAAAACAGGAAAAAAAGAATCTTCCCTTTTTGCATAATAACCAATTTTCGCATAACGACCTGGCCTTTGGAACCTAAGCCTGTCGGTAAGTGAGGAGCGTGTATACGTCGATTTGTTTTCCCTTCCTTCCTTGGACAGCCTTCTACCCTTTATGTCAGCAGCAGTCTGTTGGCCCATTTGTCCATCAGCTTGCCCACCGTCACCGTCAGCTTAGCATTGTTCTGTAAGTCACTCTGATGAACATGGCATGAAATGAAAATGAGGTTAGAGATTATTGCAAAGACGGAGAAAGAAATTAACATCATTTGCAGAGGTGATATTTCAGAAACCCCTAGAGAGTCAACTAGGAAATTCTTATGACTGAAAGATAAACATGTTGATTGGATATAAAATAATTATACAAGATAAAAATTACGTAAAATACAGTGGCTTTCAGTTAAATAAAATTACCCATATTGAGTTAGCAACATAAATATTAAATAACCCATTAACAATTTAAGACATTTGAGAGACTTAGAGAATGAAATCTATAAAAATTTACTGTGGAGACTTGAACTATTGGAGCCATGTCCTGAAGGAAAGACTCAATATTACAAAGATTTTATTCCAAAATCAATATATAAGTGGAATTAAACTCATTGAAATTCCAGTTTTAAAAAATTTGGACTTTCATAATAATTTTCAGACTTATCTGAAAAAATTAAAGGATCAGAATACTTGAGAAAAATTGGAACCAAGAATAATAATGAAGGGAATACCTGTGAAAACTTGGAAGAGCAGCTTTCCCTGCTACATAGTGATACTTGTTATAAAGCTGTAACTGCCAGGACACAGTAGGACTGGTGGAGGACGAGGCTGGCACCAGAACGGACTAGGAAGTGCAGAGATTTTAGGTATGAAGGTAGTATGTAACAAGTTGACAGAGCTGCATTCAGAACCATGAGGAAAGGATTGATTACTCAGTAGTGGTGTTTAGACAGTTGATTTACTATTCAGTACAAAATTAAGTTAGAACAATGCTTCATGCCATATAAAAACTCATTCTGAATGACTAAAAAGTTGAAAGAAACATAAAGCAACTAGATGAAAGCATTGTAGTTGAGAATTCTAATTTCAGATTGGGGAAGGAATTTCTGAACATAAAAGCAAAGAAACAATGAAGGAAATGTTTCTCAGATTTAAAGCTTAAGTGTGAAAATAGAAAATCACGTGGCTAAAAACTAAAAGGAAAAAGGTATTAAGCACATGTTACAAAAAGAAGTTAATATATCAAAAAGTTTTTCAGGTCTGTGAGAAACAGATGTGTTTACTTTTGTAGAAAAAAATCCGCATGTATCAGTAAAAGCACATATTAAAATTGCCAGTAAATATGAGAATAAACGTTGAACCTCAGTGGTAATCAAATACAGTGAAACTTGTGAGAGCCAGAACTTGACAGGACTTCCCGTGTTTTTCTGGGTCTCGCAAGTTTTCCGCTTTGACGGGGGCAGTCTTACCACTTTTCTATCGCTCATTTTAGTGGAAAACATTTGGGTTTTCCTTCTCTGACAGATTTCTGCCTTACACAGGTTCCAGCTTTCTCAGGTTTTACTGTAAATGCAAGTTGAAAGACCCGTAAACGTAACAAGAAAGGTAAAGTTAGTACCTATTGTTGACAAGAATATGGTGAAAAAGGCCTTTTCTTGTAGTGCCGATGTGAATTAGTGATGGAACACTTTTTCTAAAGCTTTTAAAAATATTCAGAATTCTTGACCCAATAGATCAATGTCTAGATAATTATGTCAAGCAGTAAAAAAGAATATTCATTGTATTTTTAATAATGGCTGTTTTCTGAATCAACTTTTAATAGGTAACAAAAGAGGAGTGATTACGTGACATCCTTACGTGTATTCTGCAGCCATTAACAGGTCATAGTTTTCAAAGAAAATCCGCGGATGCGGACTGTCAAACAATGTGCAATGATTTCATCAAGTTGTGTACAATTATAGGCAGATGCAAGACTGGATGTAACTCTTACGACTCCATTTAAAAAAAGACAATTTTAAAATGTGTAAAGATTTTAAATAGACATTTTTCCAAAGAAGATATGCAGATGATCAATAAGTATGTGGAAAGATGCTCAGCATGACGAGTCATTAGAGAAATACAAAACCATAATGAGATAGCAGTTCACACTCACTAGGGCGGCTAGAATCAAAAAAGACGAGCAATAACAAGTGCTGGCAAGGATGTGTTGGAATTGGAATCCTCATACACTGCTGGTGGGAACAGGAAATGGGGCAGCCGCTTTGGAAAACAGCAAGTCCTCAAAAAGTTAAATATAGAGTTACTATGTGACTCAGCAAATCCCACTCGTAGCTATATACCCAACAGATATGAAAACATATTCTCACAAAAACATGAGCATGAACATTCATAGCAGCATTATTCATACAAGCCAAAAAGTGGAAACAACCCATATGTCCATCAGCTGATGAATGGATCAACACAATGTGGTAGAGCCATACAATACAATGTTAGTGGG